TTCCGGTGTCCTTCAACGAACCAACTTCCCTGCTTCAGCGAGTGGCTGAGGATCTTGAATATACTGACCTCCTTGACATCGCTGCTGGTCGGACCGATTCAATGGAACGCCTGGTCTACGTTGCCTCGTACGCCGCAAGTGAGTATGCCTCGACTATCGGCCGTGTTGCAAAGCCATTCAACCCCCTTCTGGGTGAAACCTTCGAGTACGTGCGTCCGGACAAGGGCTATCGATTCTTTGTGGAGCAAGTCAGCCACCACCCACCGATTGGAGCTGCATGGGCCGAGTCGCCTAAATGGGACTACTGGGTAAGTGCATCCGATCCCGTAACCGAATGTCTGTTACCAGGGCTAAGCTAACCAAAACTACGTAATCAGGGTGAATCCTCCCTTAAGTCCAAGTTCTACGGAAAATCCTTCGATATCAACCTGCTGGGCACATGGTTCCTGAAGCTGCGACCTTCCTCCGGCGGAGAGGAACTCTACACCTGGAAGAAGGTGACCTCGTCGGTCATCGGCATCATCACTGGTAACCCCACTGTGGACAACTACGGTCTGATGGAAATCAAGAACTGGACCACCGGCGAGGTCTGCTACCTGGACTTCAAGCCGCGTGGCTGGAAGGCCTCATCGGCCTACCAGGTGACAGGAAAAGTCGTCGACAGCGAAGGCTCCCCCAAGTGGAGCATTGGTGGTCGCTGGAACGATAAGATCTACGCCCGTCACACCCCCGGCTTTGAGGCACCTGTCTCCGGCCAGGATCCCGAGTCTGCTAAGACCTTCTTAGTCTGGCAGGCTCATGCTCGTCCTACTGGTATACCCTTCAACCTAACTCCCTTCGTCATCACGCTCAATGCTCTTCCCGATAGCTTGAAGGAGTGGCTACCTCCTACCGATACCAGGCGGCGACCCGATCAGCGTGCTATGGAAGATGGTGAATATGATCTGGCTGCTGATGAGAAGCACCGCGTCGAAGAGAAGCAGCGTGCCAAGCGCAGAGAACGCGATACCAAGGGCGAGGTCTACGCGCCGCAATGGTTCACCCGTGATAAGTGCCCTGTTACTGGAGAGGAATTCTGGGCTCATAATGGAAAATACTGGGACTCCCGAGATGCGCAAGATTGGAGTCGATCCGAGGATATCTTTTGAGAGGTCCTTGGCTTGTTGTTTTGGCTTGGTTGCTTTGTACAAGACTCTCAATTGTCATAAATGAACGAATGAATTCTGGATAGCTTTCTCATGAACATTAGCCGGGCTGAATAAAACCACATAATCAATGGTATATATTCAAGTAAACCTCCCCCCCAAATTAATATAATAAACCTGACAATTGAAAGCCAAAATTGAAGATATCTTCGTTTCATAGATGATCGGTATCAGTCACGTGTGTCGCCGCAAAAACATCCCCAGAGCTATCCGTGGTCTGATCAGTTCCCCTCCACAACCAATTAACATCGCAATGGCAGGATACACTTGTGTCCAGTGCCTACAGGTTCTCCGTCAAGGAGTCCGGGCCTCAGCTCCTCAGGCTCGCCTGCAGAGCCTCGCTACCGCGCGGAGAAGAAGCCCCATCTCCCCGTCTTTCATCCGCAGCTTTGGCTCGCAACGGAACAGCCGATCGCTGGCTAGCTCCCCAGAGCAGCCTAAGCACACACACAGCCAGTCTTGCTGTGCCCCCAAGTCCTCGCCGTCGCCCCTCGCCCAGCGGGCAGCTCACACGGCAACCGGGTCCTCCGTCAACCCTCGGGCCGTCCTGAAACCCGACAACCTGTTCCACTCCCTGTCGAATTCGCCCTCGCCGGCACTTCGCAAACGCGCCGAGTTCATCAAGCAGAATGCTTTCTGCCCCCACCCAAGCCACCAGCAAACCCGCGCAGCCGTCTCGCCGCACGACCCCGAAGCCAGAAAAACCACCGATGATGCAAACCTGCCCCCGGCCCATTCGCACTTCGAGTGCCCCGACTGCGGTGTACCAGTCTACTGCTCCGAGGGCCACTGGATGGACGACTTCGAGGCTCACCTCGAGATCTGTGACACCCTGCGCCAGATCAATGAGGACGACCACGACCTGAACTCCGGCCGCTTCTTCCCTGAATTCCATTACCCCGGTCCTCAGGATGATAACTTTGTTATCAACATGACTAACTGGGACACTTACCTCTACACCCGTGAATTCGCGGCTATCAACGACGACCGCTCCATGCGTCAGGTCACCCGCATGCTCACCTACCCCCAGACAATCGGCAGTGTCCTGCACGAGCTTAGTCCGTACAGTGTTCGTTCCGGTGGACGGCTCACACCGGAGGGATTGAAGAGTCTTAGTGGTAAGTGCCGACCCTGTACAGCAGTACAATTTTTACTAGCAGTATTTCCAGCCAGCAAACTAACCCATACCCAGCCCTTCGCTACTCTCTCCACCCCCCTAAAGCCGGTGAAAGCATCGACGTCAAAGGCCTCCGCCTGAAGGCGCCCCCAGTGCGAATCTTCATCCTCGGTGCCCGCGCAGAGTCCTCCCTCCCCCGCGACGTCTGGCTGCAGCTGCAGTACATGTACCCGCGCGCCTTGCTACACCTAATCTTCATCGGGCCGGAGAGCATGGCGAATCGCGATGGAGAGTATCCGCTTCCCGAGCGTACGCCCGAGAACCCCTTCGGTGGCATCGTTGAGGACAGACTCGGTGGCCAGATGAAGATCACTACTTATGTGGATTACTTCCATACTATGAACAAGGCCCAGTATTTTGGTCCCTTCGATCCTTATCTAGATTGCTTCATGCTCTTCCACCCGGGTCTGGGTCACCCGGCTAGCTCACATGAGTGGGAGGAGACGCTGCCTCAATTGCTTGAGACTAAGGTTCCTATTATCTGTACTGGATATACGCAGTGGGATCTGGAGCGTGATATTAAATGGGTGGGTGAGAAGTGCCGTGGGGAATTTGATGTGCTTCTTGAGCCCGGAGAGAATATCTTCCGCAGTCTCCGCTGGGATCTGAATGATCAGGATCCTCATGATGTTTCTTGTGGAAACTGGGGATTATGGGCCTTCCGAGGCAAGAGGTATGTGGTGTTTATCACTTGAGTGGAGGGATGTTGGCTAACTTGCTCGACAGATACGAAGCTGCTTTCTCCAAAGAGGAGTAGGCTAGTTATAGTTATCCTTTCTGTACGATATTTTTTTAGTGCCCGTTCTTGGGGTCATTGTAGTAGATAAGATCAGTCCCAGTCCTCTCCTAAGTTATTCAAGATTATCGATGCGCTTGATTCAGCCAGTTGTTTTTATTTTTTTTTGGTCAAGCATACGCCGTAGATGAAGCCATAGCTAAGCTCTCATCGAGAAGCTCAGAATTCATACTAGATGTCAAGACGAAACGCCCCGGCCATGATTGAGACAGGATTATAGATAAAGCAAAGGTTAGATGTAGCCACAATGAAATGTATCAATTGCACAAAAAGTAAAAGCTCGTAAGTCTTACACTCGTTAAGTAACAGTGGTATGACATCCAAGAGTAGAGATGCAAGCATCAATGTGGATAAAGAATCCAAAGTCAACCAAGACAGAAAGGAAGTAGCATTAAGATCAAAAAATGCTTGGATGAGATCAAAAGGGGAGTATCGAAGAGAAAAGAAAAGGGTATAAACATCAAAAAATGAACTTCGGAAAATCGGAAAACGCGTCAAAACCACCGTAACCAGAAAGTAAGAGGGTTAAAAGCCGGTAAGTCAGGAAGAAATAATATGTAGAGAAGAAAATATCCCAAAAATAAAAACATGGGAGGATTCAAGTGGGGGCCATTCTAGATGGCCGAAGCAGTCCAGTACCAAGGCTGGATGCAATGCGACAAAATTTGACACTAAGATCGGGAGTGCAACTCAAACATTCACTCGTTCAAATGAGCCAATGGAGTTTAGATCATGAGAAGACCCGCAATGGCGGCTGCACCAGCAGCCATGAAAGCAGGGAGGTGGATTGAGGCAGCACCGGCGGTAGCAGGGGCGGAAGGAGTAGCCGAGGCACCCTCACCGGCGGGGGTGCTGCTAGCCTTGATCAGGGGGGTGGAGGAGCTGGCAATGTGGCTCATGGAAGGGGTGGCACTGGAGGAAGGAGTGCTAGTGACGACAGGTGTCCAGGTCGACGAGGGAGTTTCAGTCGAGATCGAGGTTGAGGTCGGGGTGGGAGTCGGGGTAGACGACGGGGGAGGAGTGTAGCCGGAGGGCACCAGAGTGATGGTCTTGGTGACACAGTCGGCTGTAGCAGATTCAGCGGCGAACGCGACAGGCGCGAGGGCCGAAAGGAAGAGGAGAGCCTTGGTGAACTGCATTGTTGATGTTTTGTTCGAAGTTGTTATGATATGGAGAATTGAGAATTGAGAATTGAGAATTACGAATTGCGAAGAGAGAGTAATTCGAGTCAAAAGAGTGAATGCAGCTGATAAAAGAGTGTAATAGCTGTGAGAACAAAAGAGTGACACTGTTTAGAACAGGAGAGGTTGCAAGTGGGAGAGGGAAAAGGGAGGTTTCAAGGCGCTTGTATCGTTTGGGTACAGGGACGGGACAGGTATCAAGGCACTAAGGCATTCAGGCATTCAGGCCTCAAGGCTTCTCAAACGTTTCTCGCTATAGATCAGATCACCAAAGCCTCCCCCTTCTTCATACAAAGACGAATATAGGAAGCATCCTAATATAGCCTAACCAATTTAACCAATTTAACCAATTTAATCGACCCAAGACTACATTTTATGCTCTACTCATTATTACAAACTAAAGTTTCGAGTCCAATTCAATATCGCCTTAGCATTATCAGAAGCAAAGCGCTCATGGATATAAACAATACTGTTGTACAGGCCAAGGGCCAGCTCCCAAACCGGGGTATCAAAGTCACAAGCAAACATCCATCCCAATCATGTTTTATCATAGCATTAAGGCTCATCGTCAACACAAGCCAGGTAGAGCCATCATAACCCAGCAGTCAAAAAGCAAAAAGCAATTTCATAGTTGTCGGCATTTAGAATCCCCAGACGGCGGCCACTACCACGGCAACAGTCACCCAGTACCCGCTAGCATGCAGAACCATCGCGATTGGCCCGGATGCCGAGGAAGTACTAGTCGAGCTTCCATCCGCGGCAGTGGTACCGTTGGCCAAGGTGCCATTGATGTAGATGGTCTGAGTTCCGTTCACATCGACCACGCGCACAAGACTGGAGTTCTTAGGCACGGTGCCGTTGAAGAGGGACTCGTAGTAGGTGCGATTATTGTTGTTGTCGCAGCCACACTCCGAGTACTCCTGGCACACACAGACTATGGGGAGCGACTCATTCTTGTGGTCATTGTCATTGTAGTAGTTGTAGTGGTTACTGTAGGGGTAGGCGTAGGCGCTGTACAGCCAAAGACCCGGGAAGAATCCCAGTGCAGCTCCACCGAGCACGTAGGGGGCGATGCCTCCAGTGGACCGAGAGCCAGACCTATAAGGAGTGCGCGCGCCGCCGGCATAATAGTTGCCTCCGCCGTAGGTTGCTCGAGTTCCAGAGCCACCACTAGTTGTGCCGCCGACATTGCTGCTTGACCCACTGCGACTGCTTCCACTGCTGCCACTGCTTCCACTGCTGCTACTGCTTCCAGTGCTTCCACTTGAGCCTGAGGAACCAGATGAACCTGAGGAACCGGAGGAACCGGAGGAACCGGATGAACCTGAGGAACCAGTGCGACCTCCACTGCTTCCTCCGCTGCTGGATGAACTGCCGGATGAACCGCTACTGCCACCTCGGCCTCCTCCACCACCGCCACGCCGTTTCTCGAGCGTTACAATATCTGAGGTGTCCTGGGTATAATCCAGATCCAGTAGGTCCACATCTCGTTCAATGAGATCGGTTGGCTCGGTTTGAGGGATGGTCAGGGACGCGACCTTGGTAGAGAGTAGAAGGAGCGTTGTCGCCCAAGTGAACTTCATGGTGAGTATGAGTATTGAATAATGGAATAGAGGAATAGAATAGAAGGTCTTCAAGGGTGAAGTCAAAGGGGAGGCCAGTAAAAAAAGCTAAGGGAAGGGAAGTAGGGAAGTAACGGTATGACGAAATTCTGATGGACTCCGGTTCCTTAAGAGATTTCGGGGCCTTTGAGATTTTTTAAGAGATCATAAGAGTCAGAGTCCTTATAAGAATCCTAGATTTAAGCAATTCCAAGGATTAAGAGGACAATAAAAAAAATTCATCAAAGCCAAAATACTCAGCCTCGGACCCTTGCCCCCTTTAGTGGCCTAAGAGCGGATACGAGAGCGGAGGTTACTCTTTCTGCGAACGGAGTACGGATTCTATACGGAGGATAGACGGAGTATGTACGGAATATAGAAGCACTGCCACGATGTCATTTTCTATTTGATTTCTAGAAACTTGCTGAAGAAAGTGATGATATAATAGTGCATACTCCAACCTCTTATGGAGAGATATATACATATGTACGGAGTACTCCGTACATATGTACCTAGTCAGAAACTTGTAGATCTTTAACCCCTGTTTCTCCACATGCAAATGTACGTAGAGCATAATTATATGACATAAAACTTATTTCTTCAAGTCTTCCAGTTCGTATATTACAACATATACCTGCTTAGCCTCATTCTGCGCCCACTATACTCCGTATACTCCGTATATTACTCCAAATTACTCCAAAAACCAATCTCAATCTACATACGCCCGTTATCCACTGAACTAATTAAAATGACCCTTGCCCCAAAGTCGGTGAGAGAAACTCTCTATCCTTTGTTATAGAAGAGACAGTCTGATCCTATAGATTAAGATGAGTGCGCCTTGTTTAAGTCAAAGAGTGCTCTAATAATTGGGTAACTGGGCACTTCTTTCTATAAAAAGATGACTAGAGCTTTATATTTCAACTGTACGGAGTATTTCAAATGCAATAGCCATACAATCAAATGATAAACCTATTTCCAATAGAACTATTTCACTAGTTGATACTTAATATAACTAGTTAATAACTAGTTAATAGATGATAGTAGTAAAGTGATAGTGGGAGATCACCCGGTCGGGCACCCAACAGCTTTCCCCCCCCCCAAGTCCAAGCTATCTTTCTCTCTCATATTCTCCCAACCCCCCAATCACTTATTTCCCTACGGTCTCTCATGGCACGTCAAAGAGGTCTTTCAAATGCCTCTTCCACTTCCTCGCTCCCAGACCAGGTACGTGAATATCCTACCCCTAACCCCCCGGGAGACCGCTAATGCAATACTAGGAACTGGGGAGCATGTACGATTACCTTGCCAAAGTCATCCTCCTAGGCCCAAGCGGTGCTGGAAAGTAAGTACCAACTATATCAATACGGTACATACAAGCTTAGGTCATCTGCTGACATCGGATCCTTGAATTACAGATCTTGTGTACTACACCGCTTCGTGAAAGATGAATGTACAACCCACCCGTGGACCCTCGCTCTACCTCTCTCTCTCTCTCTCTCTCTCTCTTGCGCTGACATATCTTTCCTCCAGGGCGAGTACTCTCCTCTCAGACCATCGGCGTAGAGTTTGCCTCGCGCATCGTGAAACTCGGCACGGGGTCGCGCCGGAGACGCATCAAACTCCAACTTTGGGATACAGCAGGCACAGAACGCTTTCGATCCGTCTCAAGATCATACTATCGCGGCGCAGCAGGTGCAATTCTTATCTACGATGTCGCTTCCTATGCTTCCTTCACCTCCCTCCCGACCTTCCTCATGGACGCCCGCGCTCTCGCTTCCCCGAACTTATCTGTCATCCTGGCCGGGAATAAAGCCGACCTGACCTCCGATGCCCAGTCCGATTTCGAAGATAACTCCCGCCCGCCTCCGACTCCGTCTAGTACTTCCAGCAGACAGTCATCTATCCCCTGGGATATAAATGGGTCGATTCGCTCGACCAGCCTGATGGGGACGGGGACCAGGTTGACTGCTACTCGTGCCTCGGAAGGCAGAGAGGTTAGCTCCGAGGAGACATCCCACTGGGCTGCTAAGTCAAATATACCCGTCGCTGTGGAGATCTCAGCTCTGACGGGGGATGGCGTGGAGGAAGTCTTTAATCGGCTGGCGCGTATTATCCTGACCAAGATCGAGCTCGGTGAGATCGACCCCGATGACCCACAGAGTGGCATCCAGTACGGGGATGGAGGTCTATATGGTGGCAGCGACGCTTCGAGCATCAGAAGTCGGGCGACGTTAGATGATAATTCCGTGCCCCTCCAGCGCAGAACTCCCCGACGAAAAGGCAAAGCTCCTGGCACACCCAACTGGAAGAGCGGGATGAGGGAATGGGAAGATGTTTTCCGCTTGGGCTCTGGAAGTCGCCCAAATCAAGGGTGTTGTTAGTATAATTGTGCTATCACCCTAGATACATTGGTTTCTTTTTCTGTTTTGATTTGGTCCTTCGTTTTACTACACTGCACGATACCCCTTCGTTGACCTTCATCATTTCTATATATTACTTTATTTACCCAACAGCTCAGACCTCCAAGAGGAGAGTAATTGCATATTAACTTTTGATTCATCTCTCGTTCAAAACTTGCTTAACAAATTATATCAAAAAAAGACGCCCCGTTGAACCCCAATGTTTCGTTTCTATAACGGAATTTACACATCAATACCGGCAATCAAGGTCTTAATGCCCTTGCCAGCCTTGACTTCAATAAAGGCCTGCTCAGCTTGGTCGAACTTGACCGTGCCGGTGATCAGCTTCTTAACATCGACCTTGCCGGAGGAAACCAGCCCAACGGCAAGCTTGTAGTCTCCGCTCCCATACCGGAAGCTACCCTTGATGGTCAGCTCCTTGGAGCAAGCCGCCATGATGGGGAACTGGATCTCGCTGCGGCCCATACCACCCTGCACGTATGTGCCTCCGTTGCGCAGAACATGGATGCCCGTGTGCACGGAAGGCTCAGCGCCCGAAGCATCAATCGCCACATCGGCGCCCGCGCCGAGCCCATTCTCTTCTCTCAGGCGCTCGGCGTTCTCAGTGGCTGCAACCTTGCCGGGCATAAAGGTCGATGTTGTGGCGTAGTCCTTGGCAAAGTCAAGACGCTGCTGCTGGATATCTACGGCGATGACCTTGGAGGCGCCAAACGCGGTCGCCACGGCGCAGCATAGCAAGCCCACGGGGCCGGCACCGAATACCACCACCGACTGACCCGGGCTGACGCCGGCTTGGCGTACAATGTGCACTGCAACACCGAGAGGCTCCATAAGCGCACCCTCCTGTAGGGAGATATGTTCGGGAAGCTTGTAGCAGAAGTCCTCGGGGAGAACATAGTACTTGGCGAGGGTGCCATCATAGGGCGGGGTCGCGGCGAAACGCATGTCCTCACACAGGTTGTATTTTCCGGCCTTGCAGGGCTCGCATCGGCGGCAGGAGGTTCCAGGCTCCATGGCGACCCGGTCACCCACCTTTAGGGTCTTGACAGCTGATCCGACTTGGCTGATGATACCTGCCGACTCGTGTCCGAGGACCATGGGGTCTTTTACAACGAATGAACCAATCGAGCCGTGTTCCCAGTAGTGCACCTGTTACGGGGATCGTTTAGTCTTGGGCATACTGTTTCCAGAGCATAGTACATACATCACTGCCGCAGATACCGGTGTACTTAACGTTGATGATAACATCGTGGGGGTTCTTCAGCTCGGGAACCGGGCGGTCTTCAAACTTGACCTTATGGATGCCCTGAAGGACGAATGAAAGGTTCTATGTGACTGTTAAACCTATGTCGTTTTCGGTGTTTGAGTTAGGTCCTACCTGAGCTGCGGCCATTGTGTATGTAGAGTAACGGTGGGAATTCCGGGGAAATCGGCAACAATGCGGGGGTTCAATAGAGAGGGGAATATGAGAAAGACAGAGATTCTACCGGGGCAATACTAGTAGAATATATAGAGAGAAAGTAGGAGAAAAGGGATATGAACCGGGAGAATGCAGTCGAATTGAATTGAACCGAACAACGCAGAGCTCCCCGCAGGTCCAGACAAGTTCCACTTCGATGTGGATCGGCCACTGTTTTTTTTTTTCTCTTTTTTAGCCGCGATGATATTAACCGGTGGACTGTCGGGATTATCTTTCCTCTGTGAATTCACAAGAGGCAATAACTTTGGAATATATAGGCCATGTGACCCACCACTTTTTGGTCAAGTGACGTATAATTCAGATAGGAGATATATACTCCGTACGGAGCATATATATAATATATAGTATATATAGTGCTTGGATATAAGAAATGGGATGATATATATAACATAATAAACCCATATAAACCCATATAAACCAATATAAACCAATATAAGATACTATTATCCACGATTATATACTGAATACCTCTATGTATACTCCCCACTGAAAAAAAGTATCGGCCCGGATGCCAAGACCCCCCGGAACTCGGTCCGTCCTCCTCTCGCTCTTCTCTGAAAGCTACAGCTCTCTGGCAGCTTTCGAAAGCTTTGAGAGCTTCACCTCTTCTACACATCGCAATGGTCTTTAATGCCCTCGCCTTAGGGGTGCGCAGTCTTCGGACTCGACCATCACCCCGCCTCCTGCGCCATTTCGCATCCTCGGCTAAGCAAGCCAAGGAAAACCAATCATTCAAGAGTCAACTATACGAAAGCACCCAGCAGCGTCTGAAGCGCGAGCGTGCCGAACAAGAGAAATTTGCTCAATATCAGACCCAGTCCCCCGCAGGTCGCTCTGCCGCCCTGGTCTTCGGTATGCGATGCCGAGATAATCTTGCATTTTCCTCTGGATAGGTCGTTGGCTAACTAAATCTGCAATCGCGCTGTAGCTTTGGTTTTCTTCTCAACTGGTGCTTACTACCTCGGATCCATCAAGCCCGCAGCTCTGCCCTCTTCATCCACGACTCCCCTCTCTGAGATCGAGGCTCCCAAACACAACGTCTCTCCCTCCAATCTCCAAGCCGCGTGGGCTGATTTCGTCGA